CGCAGCGTGCAGCCCAGGCGGTCGAGTACGATCGCCGGCTCTCGGAGGCCTGCCTGGCCAAGAGCCGAGGGAAGTCAGCGAGGCCATCGAGCCTCAATTTCAGCATCGGCGACCAGGTCTTCTACTGGCGTGGTCTCAAACAAGGCCAAGAAAATGTGGAATTTCAAGTGGCACGGTCCCGGAGTTGTTATCGGCTACGAGGGCAATAACGTGTGGGTTTCGCATCGCAACGCCACCCTCAAGTGCTCGCCGAAGCACCTCAGACCGGCCATGCCCGAGGAGCGCGCGCCCTGGAACGAGATCTTCGACGCTCTGGCCCACAACCTGGAGCCCGAGTTTGAGGAGGACACGCCGTACATGGAGGCACCGCCTGGTACGGAGACCGACTACTACGACATGACTGTCGACGAGGAGGAGCTTCCCGGGCCGACCAACACACATCCAACCTCGGGAAGACGCTCTACGGGGAAAAGTCGCGGTCGGTTCGGCTACCGACCTGAGGGCTCGGCCGAGGAGGAGACCCCAGGACCCCCTCCTGATTTTGATGCCGCTGCGGGTCCTGAAGAATCAGCCGAGCCAGATGCCAAACGAGTTCGATTTCATAATGACCAAGATCAAGAGCCGGAAATGCCACAAGTACCTCAACGGGAAGCGGCACCACCCCATCAAGAAGCCGACCCAGAGCCGGAGACGCCCTACTTCGACCAGGAGTCGCCCATGGACGCGCACAATCAGCAGGTTCCCGAGGACGAGATGGATGAGGAGACGCCCTACATGGAGCCGCCAGGAGCCGACATCGAGGAGGAGACGCCCTACATGGAGGAGCAGGCCTCGGAGCAGGAGCCACAGACCGCGGAGGAGACGCCGTACCAGGCACCGGCCGCGGAGGAGCCCCGACCTGCACCACCTGGGCACGCTGTGCGACGGACAAGGTACAACCCGCTCGACGACCTGCCCGTCAGCATCCGCAGGAACCTCGAGTCCAGGAGGATGGCGGCACAGTACGACCCACTTGACGACGTACCGAGGGTGATTCGGCAGGAGCTTCGACAGCAGCAGGACGCCAAGAAGCACAGGGTCAACGAGCACATGATTATGGAGCTCTCACTCAAGGAGGCGGCCGATTTAGATTTCTCGACTTCACGCCCGACCAGGTTTAAGCGCGTCGATCTTGTGGGCAACTCGAGGAGCAAGGAGCTGACGTTCAAGAACCTCACGGGCGCCAACCAGGTCAAGATGCGTAAGGCTATGGCGTCAGAATGGGTACGATTTTGTTCCAAGGAGGAGCTGGGCGAGCTCATGCGCGAGAGGCCGAAGCTCAAGATCGTTGGTACCCGCTGGGTGCTGAAAGAGAAGGACGTCGACAACTTCAAGGCGAGGCTCGTTGTTCAAGGTTGCCAAGAGAACGACCTCGGCATCCGTGCAGACGCCCCGACTGGCAGTCGGGACGCCTTCTGGCTTACGGCCGGGTTCGCTGCCCAGCCGGGCTGGGACGGGGCTTTCTTCGACGCGAAGAGTGCCGACCTGCAGGCCGAGGGGATCGATCGCGTGTTGATGATCAAGATGCCGCTGGAGAATCCCCCTCCAGGCACCAAGCCAGGCCAGGTTTTCTTTGCGACGGGCAGTATTTATGGCACTAAGGATGCTGGCAGGGCCTGGTATTTGTATCTGAAGTCTGTGCTTAAGGAGTTCCAGATACACGAGAGCAAGCTGGAAAGAGGTTGGTATTACCTGGCACACAAGGGCGAGATCGTCATGGTCATTCACTCGCACGTGGACGACATGTTTTTCGCTTGGAAGCGCTCGAACGCCTACGTCCAGGAGATCATCCCGAAGCTCGAGAAGCGCTTGTACCTTGCCAAGAAGACTGGAGACGTGGACTACCTGGGCACTCGAGTTCAGATGACGCGCGATTTCATCAGCGTGACTCAGGAGAAGGCTATCAAGGCGATCGACACGATACCTATCCAGCCGAGCCGTCTGAAGACCCCGGACGCGGAGGCTACGCCGGAGGAGATCAGCAGTTTCAGGGCGACCAACGGCCAGGTGCAGTGGGTTGCCACGCGCTCGAGACCGGACGCGGCCTGCAAGCAGAACATGGCCGCCCAGAAGATCAGCAAGCTCAAGGTTAAGGACCTCATCGACATGAACAAGTTGGTCAAGGAGCTGAAGGAGAACTCCACGCTGGGCATTAGGGTCGTCAGGAATCGGGTCAGGGTCTTGCACGCGCAGCTGCTCTTCTACGGGGACTCCGCATTTGCGAATGCCGAGGGCGAACGCTCTCAGTGCGGATTGGTTGGAGGTCTCACCCACAAGCCCGAGGAGGTAGCCATTGGGAAGTTCAGCGAGATGATACCTCTCACTTGGTGTTCAGGACGGGTGAAGCGAGTTGTTCGGAGTACGCTCAGTGCCGAGGCCTACGCCATCAGCGGGGCTTCCGAGTATGCCGACTGGTATCGCCAAGTGCTCACCGAGCTGCGCCTTGCCTCGACTCTCAACGGACCGCCGAAGCTGAAGGATGTGGAGCGCGAGTCGGTGAAGATCCCGATGACGACGCTCACGGACAGCAAGAACCTGGAGGAGACCGTGGAGAAGGACGCCGGAGTTGTCGCCGACAAGAGGCTACGTATTGTTGTGAGCATGCTTCGAGAGAGTTTTGGATTGCCTCATTCGGTTTTGCGGTGGATCCCCACACATACGATGGTGGCCGATGCTCTCACGAAAATCATGGAGGCTGGTATCCTTATGAGTTTCATGAGCGGCCGCGATTACAAGTTTACTGCGCCGACGCCGAGGGCCAAGAAACTCATCCAGATGCTCGCGATGGTCTCTCTTTCAAAGGGTGCCGCTGGATACGAGTATGTACCGAAGTATGAGGTCAGTTGCACAGAGTTCGCTGTGGACACTTTTGAGTATTCTGAGCAGTGGATATTTTCTTGGATGATGTGGTTTCGAGGTGCTGTGTGTGGAATTGGTTTTACTTTGGCTATGTTTCTTATCATTTGGATTTTCATGAGATTCAAGGGTGTGTTGACGATCACCCAGGACGAGGAGATTCTCGTGCCAGTCGACACCGAGATTGTATCAGTGAAGCCGAAGACCGGACCCAAGGGCATGAAGGTGAGAGATGTGATGACCATGTCACAGACGACTTATGTCAGGAGCCACAGGCATGTGGCGGTGAACAATTATGAGGGAGATGTATTCACAGGGACAACCTACACACGTAAGTGACAATATCGAGGACTACGGGCCTTCCTTTCGAGCTCCCCGCTGAGCCCAAGGAGGTACTTCACACTACGGGCCCCCTTTTGAGCTCCCCGCTGAGCCCAAGGGGGCACTCCGCGTGAGGCTCGACCTGGGTTGAGGTCCGAGCCGGTGACACTGCCGCGGCCACTTGGGCCTGCGGGACTTGTCCGCCACTGGGGCGGAATGCAAAGACGATTTCCCCCTCCATCCTCGATCCCTTTCTCTTGAATTCACGATCGTTTTATGCTAGCAGGTTGTTTCACGTAAGAGTTGTTTCACTAAAGCCACTTGAGCAAGCCAGCAAAACCTGTTTAGAGCCCCGGGCCGACATTTGACAGAAGCACGTTTAGACCGTCAGCGACGGACCGTTTCCTTTTAGATTTAAACAGCGTTTAGATCAGCAGAAATGTACAGCGTACATTTGGAGGAGTGTGCGTGATCCATTGTGTAGCAGCAGCGTTGTGCATGATGTGTGCTCTGTAATGTTTCGGCTTAGGCGCTTTGACCAGTTTTAGCTACATATCAAAAGCATCGAGCGATATCAGAGATATCCGCCACGTCAATTTTGTCCCTTGCATGTGCACTCGCCACTGCAGTTAATTATCTTCGTTCCGCGCCCCGAACGTTGCCCCGCTTCTTGACCTTCGCCAGGGAGCCGCCGACCAAGAAAAGTAACCCACACCAGTTCGGCCCTGGCATCCACACTCAGTGCAGCTTGCAGCTCACTTGGGCGCCGCTTAGGCAGCTTAGGCAGTTTAGGTGCGCGGCTCTAGTTTTCTCCTGTTGTCAATTAGTAGGCCCGCGCCCCGGACTTACGACTCGCCGCTTGCGCTGTCGCCTGCGGCCGCGACCAAAAAGTAACCCAAGCCAGCCCGTCCAGAGGCGATCGCCAGGCGAGTTGCCCCTGATCAGGGACGTGCCGGCACAGGGAGCATGCGGCAGCCATCAAATCGAAGTTTTTTTGTTCTGCCCGAGCACTCTCAGGAGTGCAACTTCGGAGCCTGCCGTCGAAGGAGGCGGATCTACAGGGGGAATATTCAAAAATCGTCAAAAATAGTCTGGGGACGATTTTAGGAGTATTTCTGACCGTTTTGGAGCAGTTTTTGAGCATATTTGATTTATCGTCGAAAAGACTCTGTAGGGGGGACACGCCCGACTTAAGAGTAGGCGCAGAAGAAAGTGAGGATGAGGTGGAGGTGGGACGAGGCCCACGGGGCTCGCGTAGAAAACAAACGCCCCCGCGTATAATTCACAAGCCTCTGCTTTATAGAAAGCCCTCTTGGGGGCTTTGAGCATCCTCTTGGCACCAACTTGGAGAGCGTCGATCAATGATGGGGGGGTCTGAATTAGGGTCCCCCCGTCGGAGCCCAGATTGACTCTGGGAGCCTTCTTGGGATGCTCTTGGGTCGCTCTTGAGCGCTCTTGGGCCGTCTTGGGCGACTTCTGGGCCCCTCTTGGAGCTCATTTGGGCGCTCTTGGAGCCATTTTGAAGCCTCGGGGGGCCATTGGAAGCGAACTGGCGGCAAGGCGAAAGGAGCTGTCTCGAAACAGTCTTGGAGCCTCTTGGAGGCAGGTTGGAGGCCATCATGGGCTATCTTGTACCGGATGGAAGCCATACTGATCTACGGAGCCATCTAGAGCCTTCATGGACATGGTAGCCCCTCGCGTCCCCCCTCTCGCCGTCTAGACCCTTGAGGAGCTGTCGGGGATGGGTAAACCCTCATCCGGAGAGACGAGTGGGTTGGAATAGTGCGTGCTGGTGGGATCTAGAGTTATCTTGATTATCCCTCTTCCTCACACAGCCATTGTGGCTCAAGATGTGTGGGTTCAGATCGTGCCCAAGGCCTCATCTTGGTCATGAATAGGGGCCGACCATTGGGAGACACAGGGGTGCTCAGCAATGGGAGGCGGGACGAGTCGACTGGACGACAGCCCAGACAGTGAAAACGGTCGCGGCGCCGGCGCACAAGATGAAGGCGAGACTGCTGGCGCAGCCGGGAGGCTCCCCGAAGCGCTCCCCGCATCGCCTGTAGCCGCAGCCCAGGAGCTCAGGAAAGGAAAATATGTTGTTTTTTGTTATTACTGGCGACAACGGGCATGACCAGGAGGGCGGGGGGGAAAAAAGGGCGGGGGCCTGTCACGTCCCGAGTCGCGCCGACGCAATTTCCAGACGGCGCCAGCGCGAATCGTAACGTTGCCAGGGGGGGAGGAGGGGGGGCCGGGACCGGGAACGGGCGTGACCGCGAATAGTAAGAAAGGAGGCTCCAGCTGATGCCGATACTGCTACCCTTCCCTCGTCTCCGCGGCTGGGTCCGCATCGGACTCCTGGTCAGAATGCGCCCCGGGACAGGTCCGTGGAGGAGCAGCATCGGTACCCAGAGATGCGACGCCCTGCTTTTTTCAACACGGGGTCCCTGGAAGTCCTGACCCTTTCCCCGGGACCGGTTTTCCATCCTGCGTCGTTTTTTGTTGATGGTCCCGAGGCCCGGCGAGGGCCACAGAAGGCAGAAAGCGGCCAAAGTCCTCCCGTCCTGAGTTTTCACGGCGCGATCAGGGCCGGGCATGCCTTTTTCCGGAAAGTGGAACATATACAGTACCAGTGGCGGGTTGTTTTTCAATCCCAGGACTTTTTGAGGGTCGGGGACGACGCTGGGGTGGTGTGGTGTATACTTTTTTCCCCGATGTCCCGGGAAACAGCGAAAAATACATGCACCAGGGTCCCGTATACACCAGTATCCGCTCCCCAGTGCAAATTTCAATGCAGGGCCGGAAACAGCGTCGATGTATACAGTGCCGTTTCTAATACATGCTCCGCGTGCGGATCATTTATGACAAATGAGGGGATTTAGTATTAAAAACAATGGTGAGCTCATGCATGCATTTATTCACAAATTAATCATGTATTAAAAATCTTGTGTTTTAGAACATCCGATGTATTACAAACTGCCCTGTAGAGTTGGATTCCCTATTTTCGATTCCCCGAGGAGCCGCCCACAGAGGCCGTGATCCTGTCAACTCTGGTAGCGCAGCTGGGGCAGGAGCCGGACAAGAGCATGGCGCTCTCGGCCATCCGGGAGAGGCTCACCGAGATGAACCAGCCGAGGCTCGAGGAAGAAAGCTCGGCGCGGACATGCTCGGGGCAACGTAAGACTCGAGCAAGCCGGAACTCGGGTCTGCCGACGTTTTTTGACGAGCGCGTCCTCGATTTTGTCGGTACAGTTTTCGTGGGATGTTTGCAGCGGGAGCTCGTGGCAAATTTCAGATTAGGTTTCGTCATTTCCATGATGGCCCCGTCCGGCCAACCCGAGTCCCCAATACCCGAGTCTTACGTCTCCCCGACATAAACCTTGAGCTCCACGCGGGTTTCTCGGATCGGCGCTGGAGCCCCCTGGGCGGCTCTGGCGCCACCCCTGGCGCGTTCCGCACGCTGGGGGACAGGGGGGTCCAGCGCCGACCCGAGAAATCCGCGCGGACCTCTGGAAGTTTATGCTAATCCCGTTTTTTGTTCCTCTACAGGCTGCGCCAGGTCGCAGAGGACGTCGAGGCCCTCCGCGGCTGCGAAACACTTGCAGCATCGCAGCAGCAACTTCTACATTTTTCGAGTCGCATCGATCTGTGAGGGTCCCCTGGCCTGAGACAGGGCGAAAACGCCCGCTGGGAAAAAAATGCAGTGCCTGGATCTCGGTACCCTGGAGAGGTCGGAGGAGGAGCTGCGAGGTTCTGATGTTCTAGTTGCGCGGTCCCGACCCGTTCCCATGTTCATTGACGGTCCTGGGGCCCAACGACGGCCCCCAGATGCCGAAAATGAAGCAAAGCTTTCCGTCGTGTTTTTTTTTCGGCGCCGTAATGATTGGGGTGGAACGAGTAATTTTATGGCCCGCCAGGCCCTCCGCGGCTGGCTGCAGAAGTTCCCCAGCCTGGTGGAGCTCGCGGGCCCGCCTGGCGAGGAGTCGGGAACGGCCAGTAGGGGGGTGATGGCCAGGTGCGTGTGTGTGTGTGTGTGTGTTTGTGTGTGTGTGTGTGTGTTTGTGTGTGTGTGTGTTTGTGTGTGTGTGTGTGTGTGTGTGTGTGTGTGTGCGTGTGCTTTCTTGCAGTGTGAATGGTCAGAAGATAGCAATGCTATGTTTGCAATTGGGTAGCCCAGTAATTGAATTCGGACAGTTACATGAGCGTTTCTTTCATAGTACGCTTCACCGCACATCTCACATCCTACCATAGCTGTTTCTTTTTCAGGCGATCACGGCACGGGTTTAGGCTAGCGCTGAAGACGTTCTGATGAGAGCGGCGCACACATGTGGGCTCGTGCCGATTCCATGATACTACAGCTGCTTCTCGTTGGATGCTCTGTGATAAAGTATTTATCGAGTGCTCTGCGAGCGAAGGGACCCCGAGAATACTGTTTTGAACTACTCCATTGGCTTCGTCATGGGGTTGCAGGATGGTCACGAGTCTTGGGGTGTCGCTTGAGGCCCTTGAGTTCGACAAAGTGTTCTTTTTCGAGGCCCCTGAGGACCCAGAAGAGCACCCCAATGACGACCTCACGGACCTCTGGAGCTCCAAGGGCACGCACGATCCACAGGGCGACCTACTTTATCGATAAGCTTCTACCTCACTTCCAAGTGTGTACGCGGCGGGATCGGAGTGGGGACGAGCTGTCCCCATGTACCGCAGCCGCGTCAGAAGGAACCAAGCATGTAACGTTTGCCAGTTCTGTCTTCATAACACGAGTCCGGGCTGCCAGTTCAGTCTCCATATCACGAGTTTGGTTTGCCAGTTCAGTATTCATATCACAATCTCTTCTATGTGCGAGTTTCCCGATGAATGATCCTGGCTTGTTCAGCCAAGGGAATGTTCCCCGAGCGTGCGCACCACCACCCGTGATGGCGGCCAACTACCGTGTCTCTTGGTTGTGGCGGTGCAGTGGGGTGGATCTGTGTACTACCTTCTCTTCCGAGACCGCGCTGCAATGGTGGCCGAATCGATCTCGGCGGCGCGATTGGAGACGCTGTTTGGATCTGTGCACCACCTTCTCTTCCGAGACCGCGCTGCAATGGTGGCTGAACCGATCTCGGCGGCGCGATTGGAGACACATCCTGGCTCTGCGTACTACCTTCTCTTCCGAGACCGTGCTGCAATGGTGGCTGAATCGATCTCGGCGGCGCGATTGGAGACGCACTTCCTCCCGACTTGACATTCCCCACGATCGAGAGCACGCGGGCCGTCGCCATCGGCACCCAGGCCACCGCTTTCGACATCTCAATGTACGAAGTATGCTCTGGATTCTGGTGTGCTGCATTGCCTCTGGTGTACACGGAAGCCCTCTCCAGGACCAAGGTAACCGATGTATCCACAAGTTTCGGAGTCAGCGCGGACCCTTTCAATATGATGGCCTCACGGGATCTCAAGTACGTGTTCGCGCTTACTCTGATGTGTATGGTCTCTGTAGTTGGGCTTTGAACGGTCCTACAGACCCTATGTTTTTTTGATCTACATGCGCCAAAGGAAATAACACTGTTATTTGCAGGGGGTCTCTGGCAGGTACTCGTGACACAACCTTCGATTGTCTTTATTGATGGACTTCATGACCTCCAACGTGCCCTGCTACCTCTGATGGACAAGCCAGGGGCCCCACATGATGTATCAGCTTTAGCTCTTGCCGTAACGGCAGTGATGTCTGTGTGTCGGATTCGTGGCCTCTTTATTGCAGGAAGACGCCAACGGTGGCGGGCCCGTCAACTTTGTCGAAGCCTCCATCATATGTGTACAGAGGCCCTTGCTCGCCCAGATTCCGCACAATTACCACATGCACTCGAACTAGCTCTGTTCCTACGTACTCAGCACATGGGCCTGCGAGGCCTGAACCCCCCGAAGATGCCCAATAGCAGCTACCTTACCAGTTAGGCTCCGAGGTCTTCTACATTGGCAAAGGAGGTAGCACGAGGGCCCATGGGCAGGCCTCAGGGGGTGTAGGACGGTTTCGGGAACATGTCCGAGGTCTCTTCCAAGTCCAAAAAGGTCAACCTGTAAAAGAAGCTAGTCGTTATCATGGTCTACTTCCAGGATGTAAGCGCTGGTAATTGTTTCTCTTTGTTCTGATTGCTACCTCGTCCGAGATTTCGAGCCTCGAGAGTGCCTGCGCTATGTTTGCCCAGCCGGCAGCCAACAACCAACCCAACGTTCGGTTGGGCCGCAGGAGTGCGCGAGCTCGAGCTGGCCCACGCCGTCGGCGAGGACGACGGGACCGTCGGCTTGCTTTGTCCCATAGCCCTGTGCCGCACTCCGAGAGCGCCCACTGGATGGAGGAGCGCATCAATTCCCTTCTCACTAGAGTCCTTGGGCACCAGAAGTATCTAACAACACGTCAGCATTGGCAAGACCGTTTGAGACTTACGTTTGATGAGCTTTGATCCAGGACCGATTCTCAAAACAAGGCATCCTGGGACCTTTGGGTATATATGAGCCAAAGATGACGAAACTACTCTTACGATGGGCTTGTGGGCACCACTTGGACATCTCTTGGGACCTCGCCTGTCGCTCCCGCCCTGGGAAGAACGATTAAGCCTATGTGTTTGGGTCCCTGGCTTCGCTTTGCCCCCACTGGCAAGATAAAGTCCGAGTTCAAACATCCTTGCGAATCTTCCTACAGTCCCAAGGGTTGCCAGCCCCAGGAATGACGACGATTGAGGTACATTCTGAACAAGAGAAGGTCGCCGCATCTCGTTGGATCCAGCAGGTGTTCGCACGGCTAGCTCAGCACCGACCTGGCTGGGCAGGCCTCTTTCGCGGGCAGACGCGGATCGTGATCAAAAGTATTCCGAACCTCCGCAAGACCTGCCGCAATCTTCCTCGGGTGCGTCAACGATTACTGTTCACAGCCCTTCAAAGTTTCACTACCATGGACCTTGATCGGGCCGCTAAGGGCCTCGACATGCAGAAGATGTCTTTGAATGCGAAGACCCCGATGTCTACCCGAATGTTGACCGCGCAAGTATTGGGGGCGTCTTGCCGTACGTGGGCACAGCGCATGGGACTCTGGGGACGTACGGGTGATGTTTCCCTTCCAGCTCTCCCTCGGTCTCAGCCCCAACGAGCCCCTGAGCCTCCACGACTGGCCCCCAGATACCAGCATCTACAGGTTACCTCCCAGAAGCTCTTTAAGACCCTCCAAGAGCACTCCGACGCGGTCTTCGCGCTAGAGGCCAAGGGCCCCAACAGCCTCTGGATGGTGGACCCCGAGTGTATGATGGCGAGATGGTTCAGCATCCTTGCCTACGCCCCGCATCGGTGGCAGGTTAGCCTTGCATCCTTGTCGGCGGTCACGGACTGGCACCGCCTCCTCTACGATAGCACGACCCCGAAAATCCTACGACAAAGGAGGGAGGGCCAGGTCACCCAAAATAATGTTCCATACTTTTACCCTACTGTAAAGGCAAACTGTTGGCTGGACGTTGACTGCCCTCCCGAGGCGGGGCGCCGCCAATGCACGAAGCCGAAGCACTCTTGTTTCAGGAACATCTGCTCGTTTGCCAAGTTTCCCTCTCGCCGCCTGCACAGGTATTTGAGCCGCGCCACGGTCTTGCAGTGGGGACCGTGAGCCCAGGTTGGGCGCGCCGCGGCTTGGAGGACGGCGCCCCGAATTTGGTGGCGCAGTTTGCGAAGCTAGAGAAAAAACGCCTCACTGAACCCTGGGTGCGGGACCCCAATGGAAGCTCCAGGTACCCTGGTGGCTGACGCGGGGCAGGCTTACGAGGAAACCCCCGTGACCACGATTTGGGGCTGTCTAAGCCGTTTGTTTGAGAGACTGCGGAAAGCGACCCCCGAGGAGGCCTTCGCGATTCCCCATAGCAAGCGAAGTCACGTCTTCTTGGGGGGCTCTATCAATGCCAAGCTTTGGGATCGCACTATTATTTTGTTTGGAAGCCTCAAGCGGGCCCTCGCGGGATTCATGGGAATGCGATGTTTTAAGGCCCTGGGGCTCATCTTACACCAATGCCAAGGAATCCCCATTGGAGGCCCATTGAGTGGTGCGATCCTACACGCCGTGCTTTCTGAAGCGGAGTGGCTGTGCGATCGAGCCCACCCGCGGAGTCGTCAGAGGATTGCTCGCGGCCGCTTTGTTGATGATTTGTTCCTCGCATCTTCCCGAATTTGTCGTGCCTGTCTTTGTCGGCATGTTGAACGTGTCTACGGCCATATCGTGAAGTTTAACATCGAAGATGAAGTTCGGTTCAGGGGAGACACGGCGGTTCTCAAGTTTCTAGAGGCCGAGCTCCATGTAAACTTCTCTGAGATCAAGGTTTGGGTCATTCACAAAAATGAAAGCTTTGCGTTCCAAGGGGGCCCCTCGAATATTGTCAAGAAGTCGGTTTGTCCGTTCGCAGGGGCCCTCACCGAGACCCAATTACGACTGCAGAGAGACGAGCTTAAAGGACGCCTGCATCGATGGGGCCAGCACCACCTCGACCTGAAAAACTGGGTTGTCTTACTATGTTCTGATATGCTCTACTTCCTAAGATTGGGGCACCCCGAGAATATCATGAGAAGAATTTGGCGATACGTGTCTCCATTGACTTATCTGAATCATATCATTGAACTATGCTTGCGTTTGGTTTACTCTTACCAGTTCCCACC